CTATAATGCAAGACATAACTAATTCTTATATGCAAGTTGCAAAACACAAAGCTAAACTTGCTTTAACCATACCAAACTCAACTATATTCTATTATCAAATCTATAACCTTCGTAGTTTATCAGATATTTAAATACAAAACCACATTTTATTACTTCACACACAACTTAACAATTTTTTAACAGCTTTATCTATTAAAATTATAATTCAACATCTTCAAAATGCTACATTTTCATCTAACAATATTTTGCTCTTGCCTAATTACATATTACCTATCAAGTTTCATAATACACTTACATCCCAAACAATTAAAGCAGCACATCAGCTTAACATGCAGATTTGCAATTCTCCTAATTCCTGGCCTATACTAACTATTTACAAAGGTACTCCAATTGACACATTGATCAAATTTTGCAACAAACCAACACATATTAAATCACTAACTAACAAAGCAAATATATATGCCATTGAACAACTCACTAATCACACAAATATACAACTACTTTCATGGCAATGCATCGCATATAAAATACTTAAAATACCAAGAGGTAGAATTCTAAAATAGTTCTATGAACTACACAACACATTCTATGCATCCACAACACCATTTATCTCTACAATTACTCCTAACCTATTTACTACAAACTCTATAACATTAACAAAAAGCATATAGATTCTTGAAAAAGTTAATAATACTCGAATCATAGAAAAAATTTAAAAAATTATTAACTCAAATAACACAATACATATTAAATACTATTATTTACCACCACCAGAGCTCCAATATACAGCCCTACTTTCAAAATGTTTAAACTGCAAATACACTTATACTGCTGCCAGTCAGCAATATATAATTATACTTAAAATATTGCCATTAAAGTATCTAGCTTAAAATTTCTTTAAACTGACATCAATGATCTAATATAACATTATTTATACTTTAAAAAACAAAAATTACTACATTATTCAAACAAATTACCAACATCACACTTAAATGTTACCTTAGCACTACAAAATAACTCTCATTTACCAACTATATTAGCTTCATCAAACAACTTTTTACAACAATATTTATACTAAATACTACTAGCACATAGTTGCTGCATCTGACAACAATTAATTTACAAGCTAAAAAACTTCAACTATACCTTTATGCAACCATAATCCAACCAAATACACCACACTCACAGGCCCAATTTGCCTGAACTTTAGCACCAACCAATATTACAGTTTCTTCTCAAATTACATATTGGTCTTCAATTACTTAAGCATACCTTATTGGCATTATAACAATACTGATCACTGCATTACAATACTGTCAAATAACTGTTCTGATGATCCACAAGCCCACAATTAACTATATTAATTCACTCCTTATACTAACATCAAATTATACTCTTAGTTTACAAAAACACAATCACTAGCTATTTAAACTTTTAATTCCAACAATAATTGCTTGCAAACATCTTAAAATTAAATGTTCCTATATTGAGAATCCTGATAATTACCCTCTTTACAACAGAGCAACCCATCTCTCTACCAAAGCACAACAATATAAACTTCATATCCTTCTTTATACTCTCAATAATAACAACTTATACCTTATCTGAAATGAAACTCCAATATAAAATAAAACCTGTTATTTTATCTGACATTTATAAAATATGACAAACACTGCAAAAGGGCATGTTTTAAACAGAACCAGTCATTGGAATATTATATACCAAAACACTAATTGGGATCTAACACATTAATTTATTAACTATAACAACAAACCTAATACTTGCAATACCCATTCAAAGCATTCTCAACTAAAAAGTTTCAAAATCAAGTTTCTACTAAATGAGCTACCTATACTTCTAAATCTATATTACAGAAAACCTAAAACATATATTAACTCTACCTGCAACTGTTGCACATTACACATAGAAGACAATCTACACTGATTAAAATGAACTGCAAACCCTATTTCTCTTAATCAGCTAATTCAACAAACTATATACAAGTTTGGTATGAAGCACAAACTTGAAAGCTGCAATATATCTACTCTATTGCAGCAGTTTACTCAAACACAAAGTGCTATACAACTTCTTTTTAAAATACAAAATTTGATTCCTGACAACATATCTACAAACTGCAACATTACTTCATATTTACTTACCAATCTATTTTACAAAATATCAAACAATATATACAAACAATTATAGACAGAAAGATGTAAAGCAATACATCAAAATAGCTTACTAACAAATGCATTTACTGTTACAGTATTTGAACATCCAGCTACAAATCAAATAGCTATAAGTAAATATAAAAATGGGCAACTATTTTTCATACTACAAATATATCTACCTCTTACATTGCAATACTAAACCTAGAAGAGGTCTGATAGCCTACTCTAGTAGAGTTTTAGGCTAAGGATAAATTAGTTCTAGCTATAGGTCCCTGTAATAATTTATGTAAAATGTTTTAATTAATGTAATACCAAATTGTTCAATAAAAACTAAGGCTAGGCCTTACTCTTAAAAAAAAAAAAAAAAAAAAAATTATATAAAAGTATTTTTTATGATCTAAAAAACTTGTGATTAATAAGCAAAGTTGTAATTTATACATGCTTTACTTAATTGTCATCATAGTAAAATATTTTTATAATTATATAATTTAATAGTAATCAGAATAAATAACATATGAGTCATGTTTCTAATTTATTAAAAATAAATTATTTTTATAAAATATTTTAAATATAATTGATTAAATTTTTTGAAGTATAATCAAATATTATTTTATAATATTGTATACAGATAAATTAATTTAATAATTATGCAATTTAATATTAATTAATTAAATTACATATGAGTTACAAATTTGCTTATTAATTATATATTATCTTTAAAAATATTTTTATAATTGCACAATTATTAAAAAACATTTGCTAAACATCACAATCTGCTATACTGCAGATTTATCATATGATTGCAGATCTTATATGAACTAATAAAAAAATAGTGCACTATAAACCATTTTCGAATAATATTATTCTATTCTTTAAAATAACTACTACTCTAAATATAATAACTAACTTTAATTCCTAACCTCTAGCCTAAACTGTTATAACAGATTAATATCATTAAAATATAGATAATTCATGAGTATATGAATTATGTCTAAACTAGTCAAAATATAACTGATCATGAGTAAAATATATTATGACTAAGAAATTATAATCCAATGTAATATAATTGACAAATTGTATTTCTGTATGTATAAGATATTGGTTATGCAACGATTAATATCATAAAATTTGTTTTGTCAGAGCAAATGATTGGCTGACATGTGCTGCATAGTGGCATGTTTCAGCCAATTATTTGCCCCAACAGAACAAATTTTATGATATTTATCATTGTATGATCCAATATCGATGTTATCGTGCAATTATGATCATGATTTACGAGTCATGGTTGGCTAACTGAGTTTTAATTTGGGATTGTTGTGCTTACGTAATAACATACAAAAAATAACAAAAAGAAAAAAATCTATGATCATAAGAGTTTGCACAATAACATATTCAAAATTGAAATAATTATTTTCAATAACCTAACAATCATTAGACCAAATGCATATAGACCAAATCAGGCATAAATCAAATGCCTGATAATGAGATTCCAGTATAATAAGATGAAAGATAATTTGATATTGTAAAATAGTAGAAAAATATAGAATAAAAAAATATTAGTTAGCAAATATTAGCAATATATATATAAATAAATATAAGAATTTACTTATTTTTATGTTACTAGAGAAAGGCTAATAATCATAATAAAGAACATCTGTTAAATAAAATAAAGTCAGTCATTAACCTTAATGTTAGTATAGTTTTAGTGTTAGTAATAAATAGTAAAGTAGTAAAAAAAATATATTTACCAAATTATATATCTTAAGTAGAACTGCTACTTGCAATATATTATATATAATGTAACAATTAAAAAGATCCTGAGTTAAGAAAATAAATTAATAGTATTATAAAAAATAAAAGAAAAAAACTTATATTGTTAAGTTAGTATTGCATAAAGATCATAAGGTTTTGCAATTATATGACTTGTTTGGTCAAAAGCTGCAATTACTTAGTAAAATGAAGTGTAAATTAATGCATTCATTATAGTACAACCAAAGTATATAGCATAAAAATAACATAAATTACACAGTCTAAATCTAGTAAATTAGATGCTTCTATATCAAAAATATATAGCTTATAGTTAATTGTCATAAATTTTAATATTGCTATTTGTTTTCTATGATATTTGCTAAATTATAATAATCAAAAAAGACTACACATAATACTTAGAGATGCAAATATATTATTTTAACATATTATTACTATAATGAGTAGCAGCAAAATTACTGCAATTTACTGAGTTATAGTAGTAAATATGCATTTAGAATAATAAGTATTATCTGCTTTGAATACTTGATAAAATGCATTAAGAATTTACAACTAAAACAAGGCTAAATCTATAAACAAGTAATAAATTATTTAAACATTGTATATAAGTTTTATCTAAAATAATTTTTAGAAAATTTGCAAATAAAAGCTTAATGTCTAATTCTATATCAATTACTACAATAATAACCATTTTTTTAAATATAGAATTTTTATTATTTTTTTTGTATTAATTTGTTTTTTTGAATTTTCAAAATTTTCATTCTTTGTATTGGTTTTTATTACTTGTCTTAATTCATTGTATTTCAAATTTAAAGTTTGCTTTGCATTTAAATCTTGAAAAACATTTTGTTATATAGATTTCAATAATCTTGAATGACCTTTATATAGAGATGTATTATAATTTTAAAAACATATAATTTTATATAAGTTTTAGTAAATTAAATTTTAATTATGATATATAAAGTACTATTTTACAAATATTTAGCCAATATTATTGCATTATATAATTTGAAATTAATTTACTAAAACTTGCTATAAAACTACATAAAATTGATAATAAATTTACATTTTATCTTTATGCTTTAATTTTTTGGAATTTTCAATTTGACTGATATTGATCATCATCTGTTTATTAGTATTAATCTTAGTATAATCTTCAATAAATTTTACAATTATTTCTACAAATTCATTAACTAGTTCATTTTTAAGAGCAAATTTTAATTCACTTTTTGCTATGCCAAAACTGTATGCATACTCTTGTTTTTAAGTAATACTAGTATAAATATTGGCTTAATATATATTAGACCTATGAATAAAAATGACTTGATTTACTTTTTCATTTATATTAAATTCTGCAGTAGCAGTATCTCTAATTATAGAATATTTAGATGCTTGCATTGGATCAGTATACCAATGTTTGAGTAAAAGCTTAATATCAAACTTGACATTAGAAGACATTTTAAAAACATTAAAAAAATATTTACAGTAAAAATTATTAGAAATAAGATAAAAACAAGTACAAAGATATGTGTTATTAGTTAAAAGAATAATATAATAAGGATAACTATGATTATATTAGTCAAATAAAAACATGTTAAACTTCAAGAATACTTTCACAATTAATTATATTTATAATGTTTTTAAGTAAAACTTGTAATGTATCATACTTATCCTTAAGGTACCCTTCTATATGCTCATGTGCATTAGAAAGCTAATAAAAAAATATTAGTCCTGATAAAAAATAATATTTATGCTAATAATATAGAAATTATACTATAGTTAAATTTGAAATATTAAATAAATATGTATGATATAATATGCTTTAAGATATTTGAATATTTTGAATTGATGCAGATTCTAATTTTAAATAATTTTTAATTAAATTTTAAACAGATTCAAAGAATACATTTTGAATACTTTGAAGTTTCTGAATAGTTAATAAATTTTTATATTCTGATAATTATTGACATTGTGCTTTATGTTCAAGTCTTGTTTGAATGGCTTTGACTAAAATACAAAAATAAGAAGTAATGTTTTTGCACCAACTTCAGTCTTAATAAGACTATTTGTGTCTTCCACATGTTGTGTACTTTGTATTCCAGTACAGAATCTTATAAATATATAGATTTTGGCCCATGACTGTCAAGATTTCAAAAGTTAATTTAGATAACTTTTACTAGCAGAATATTGTGTTAATAATTTTTTCTAATGATATTCCAACTCTGCTTCACTATGAATATTATGATACTAAAACCAGCTATATAAAAAATTATTATAAGAGCTGTCAAATTTTCAAAACAATTTTTTTGTAATATTTGTTTGTATATAGAAAATGCAATAATTATGTTTAGTAATAAAAAAAGCTTGACTAATAGCAGAAATTATAGCTTAAATTGATATCAGTAAAAATTACTTTTGGAAATAGGTTATCTGTTACTTTTAATACAATCTAGAATCCATTTATAGAAGCTAACTGTCTCATCTTAAATAAGTAATTGCATTATAATTCTTGTTTTATGATGATTGTTAACAATTACAAAAAAATTTAATAATATATTATATAAAAAGAGAATTAGCAGTATAATAAGAAATAGAAGTATCATAAATAGTAAAAATAAGGCCAATAAGAACTAGACCAGATAAAGTAAAAATAAGAGATGGTATATGTGAAAAGTTGTACAGTTTAAAACTATTAAATATAAGAATTTCTTGATACAAATTAGAGTCAAGATTAATAGATATATCAAAAGCAATTGTATTTAAAATGCAATTAATAAAATTAGAAATTAAGTAATAAATTGTTTGAGTAAAAAGGTAAATAATCTAGTGTAATTAAGAACTAATTGATTGCATTAGTAATAAAGAGAAGATAAAAGAAGTTATGTTTATAAAAAGTATAAGAAATAGGTAGTTTATTTAAAAAAATTTTAATATAAAAAGTTTTCAGAATAGAGAAGAAGAAGCTGTAAGCAAAGTTAGAAACTTTTTGATTATTATTAATATAAAGCCAAATAGCTTTTTAGTTGATATTAGATACAATAATAGACAATTATTGAAAATGATATTAGAATATCTAAAGTATAATAATATAAACTTGACAAATAATACAAATAAAATGTTGAATAGAAATCTTAATAGAAAATTGGTCAATAAATAGTATATAGATATGATTATAAAGTTTGTTAATTAAAAATATTAAAAAAGATAGTATTTGGTAACTATGAGTAAGTTGGTCAGCAAGATTATTAAATAGGTCATCTTGGTGTGCAGTAACTTTGTAAAAGTAAGCTGGATATTGTATAAGTTAATAAAGTTAATAAGAGTTTATTAAATAGAAAAGTATAAAATATAGGTATAAAAGAATTTAGATGCTAATCAATAGATAAAATATTTTAAGATTATAGATTGTGAGTTAGTAAAGATGTGAACAAAACAATTTCTATAGTTAGTAATGATTACTAAGAGAATATCAAGAATTTTAGTTTTAAAAAAAATATGATCAAAGTTTAACTTTGTTTAAAATAGTTACAGAGTTATTAACTTGAACCCAACTTATGCCTATAGAGCATTAGAAGGTACCAAGCTTAATAACAGAATTATTAGTATAAAATAAAATAGTAGATATATTATAATTAGAATTAGTATAAATTGTAAGTTATTATTAAGTTGACCTAATTGAAAGATATAAAGTAGTTGTTATAAATTAATATTAATAAAGAAGAAAGTAGAATATATAAAAAATATTAAATAGCTATAAAGTATGTAATATCAAAAAAGTTGGCATATAGGTTAAGGGTTTTGTCAGAATTAATATAATAAAATAGTTTAGTAATCAGATTTGTAAAGATAATAATAGTATATTTATTAGTGATTGTATTTGAATTAAAATAGCATCTAGAACATATAGTAGTAAAGAAAGGAATATTAGAATAAAGATTAAAAAACTAGAACTAGAATAAGCAGTATTAATAAATAATAAGAATAAGACTTATAGGCCTATTATGCCTTTTGGTCTTGTTAATAATTATTTAGTTGTTAAGAATAATAAGTAATCAGAGTTTAGTATTAAAGTTAAAGTGATTAGTAGTATAAGAAAAATAGTTTGCTTGAATTAAATTAAAATAATTATATAAAATGTATTGATAGAAATGACTTGTAGTAATATTTTTAAGAGTAGTAAATTATTAAGATATAATATTTTTAAAAAATTTGTTTAGTCTAGAAGAGATGTGTTATCAATATAATAAATATAAATTATTATAAATAATAAGTTGATCAAAGAAGAGAAGTTTATGTTATCTAAATTGTTTTTTAAAGATAGAGTATTTAGAATTAGAAAAGAGAAAAGATTCAAAAGAAATAATTTTATTATTTAAAGTATAAAAAATATTATAAGTTAGATTAGTTAAAAATGCCTAGCCAATATATTTAATAAGTTATATAATTTTAAAATTTGTAGTTAAGTAATTAGAACTATTGATAATTGGATTAAAATATAAGAAAATATTAATAAAAGACCAAAGATTGTTTTTTAATTGTTAAATTTGAATGTGAATAAATGTGTCTAATAGGTCAGAATTATTAAGTTATTTAAGAAGATTAGAAATACAATATTGTAATTAAATGTTTTAAATATATTTGATATTATAAATTTGAAATGTAGAAGAGTACTAGAAAGTATTGTATAACAAAGTTTGGTTTTAAATTTAATAAAGACTAAAGATTTTATTATAAATAAATTAGTTAATTATAATATTTTAAAGTTGGTATTTAAGAAAAGAAATAAATATTGTATTAATAATATATAAACATATAACTTAGTAATACATTTTGTTTTAACAATTTAAATAATTTGAGAAAATTTAGAAATAAGTAATTATATTTGTTTAGATTGTTTGTTGTCTAAAATAAACCAATAATCTAAAATTTTAAAAAATAGTTTAAAGAATATAGAAAAGGAAACTGATTATTGTAAGAAATAAATATATAGTAAACTGAAAGGTTATTAGTAATTAGAATAGATTTTAAAAGATTGATTTGAATATTGATCATAGTATAAAAAGATTCAGCTATAAATAATATATATAATAATTCAGATTGTAATAAAACAATCTAAAGGGTATTATCTATATATGCCAAGACAGAACATTATTTTTATAATAAGTTGAATATTTGAAATTTAAAATTAATAGTCCAAAAGAATTATAATTTATAATCAAGAATATTTGAGTATATATAAGAGGTAAGTGGATTATAATAAATATGAAATAATAAAAGAATAATAATTTTATCTTAGTTAATAGCATTGTGAACTGGATAGGATGAAGTTAGACCAAGATTAATTATAACTTGGTTGTAGTGATTGGTAAAAAAATTAAAAAGAATATTAATAGTAGATGAGAAAAGTAAAAGATAAGAAAATATATGTTTAAAAAGAATAAAGTTAACTAAGTTATAGTTTTGTTTATATCTTATAAAAGTAATCATATATTCTTATAATTACAAGAAATATCTTCAATAAGTTTATTAAGAATATGAATAAGACTAAATTACTATTATTAAAAAGAATAACATAATTAAAATAGGATAAATTAAAAATATAGAACTAAGTTGATTTGTGAGAATTTTGATGTAAAGCTTATAAATATTTTCAATAAGACTAATAAGTTGAGTAAGATTAAGATTATCATCAAAGATATTTTATTTAGAAATAGAGTAAATTTTATTATGTTTTTATTATTTGAGAATTCTATTTTCAAGAAAACAATAATTAAAAAGAGTAGTAATAGCAGAGATGCATTGGATGCTAATAAGTTTAAAAATCTTATAACTAATGCTTATGAGACCATAGGCTTTGTTATTAGGTAGTTGAGTGTAGGTTGGAATAAGTTCTTTATTAATAATAGAAGATTTTATTTTACTTTTAAACAATCTATTAAACTGGTTTTATTAATATCTCTGATCTATTTGTAATATATATTAACATTAATAAGAACAATCTCACAATATTATATCAAAAACTAAATATATCAAAATTATTTTATTAAGTTTATCCAATTTTATAAACAATACTACAACTCCTTTCTAATCTATTAATACCAACTTTTTTATCACCAAATGACTTCTACAGAACCATTTACTAACTACTTGCATTAACTAATGTTTAGACAATCATTTAAATGATTCTTCAACCTACCTTAGTTAGAAACTAATTTGAAATAGTTAGCTATAATACTTATAAGAAATAGGAGATGTAATGTCACATTAAGTGCCAAATAGTAGCACAAATGTAGTTTAGAAATCTTTAATTTTAAAACTTATAATTCTATATATAAAAAGTTTCTACTTGAACATTATGTTAATAAAAAAAAAAAATTGTATAAGTTTATAAAGATTGTAGTAAAATAATTTTTATTATTATTTAAAAGCATTACAAGATTAAGTGATATGATAGACTGAAATGTTAATTATCAAATAGGTTAGCTTTTTTTTTATAATAAGTAAAGTGAAATACTAAATAGAACTAAAGCAAAATTCTATATAGAACCATGGTTACTAAATGAGAATTAGATATGATCTAGTTAAGTAACAAGAAGCTGACTTGACAAAAGACAAATCACTTAAGGATTACATGAACAATAATGTAAAATTTTAATTGGCTACAAAATGATGTGAATACCCCATTCTTAATAACTTACTCGGGTGTACTTGTCGATTACTCGAGTAACCCGTGGGTTTACTCGTCGGTTAACCGAGTAACGTTTTTTTGACCGAGTACAAACACTAATTTACTCTTGTTTATAGTAGCCTATCTGAACTTTTAAAAGTATTGTAAACAGTAAAAAAAATTATTTATCAAGTGTAACTATATCGGAATAATCTATGAATTTGAAAAGTTGCTCCTGTTACTGCAAGCAGTCGACTTGCATAGTTGGCAAAACCAATTTTTAATTTCTAGCTTAGTCAAATTAACAAATTTAGGTTGAATATAAACACAATATTTAACAATATATACAGTCAAACCTCTCTATAATCACACACTTGGTTTTAAGAATTTGGCGCTTATAAAGAAATTGTGCCTATATAGAGGTTAAATTTTATAAGTGTCATATAAGTTGGTTTTAAAAATTTATGTAACTATAAGCAAATGTGACTATAGAGAGGTCTGACTGTATTTAACTATTTAATTTAACTAAAAGCCAATAGTAAGGTTATCTGGTAGATAGGATTAATTAGTTACTGCTTAGATAGCTTTTTATATCAAATATATATTTATTTTAATCTAATAAATTAAAATTATAAACAACATAAACAATATTAATTAGATATTTGGTATCCTAATTATTCTTCATGTGCTTCATTATCATCACGGTTATCTGCTTGCGCAATCAATGTATCTGTATTTTCTGATTCCTGTCATATTAAAGTAAAATATTAGATCCAAATCAAAATTACATTAAAAACTATTTTTAATTTTCAATAAGCAAAACAATGCACTAAAAACAAGTATATTCGTGACTGACAAAAAATCTGATCAGGTGATCAGAATTTATAGATGTATCGGCATTATTAAAATAACGAAAAAAAACTTACATTAGTCTCTTGATTAGATTCTTGATTAAGTCCTGAACTAGGTTCTTGATTAGATTCTTGATTAGGTTCAATATTATCATTATCACGAGGAAATCCACCAGGCATAACGAGTTCTTGATCTTGAGCTGGTAAATTATCACCATTATCATCATTATCAATATGAGTTCCAACAAGTAAGCCAATCAATCTTTCAGCAGCGGCTTGTAAATTTGTAACATCAGCTATTTGATGTATACGTTCAGCAAGCATACGAACATTTCCATTCTAGATAAAAGATTAATCAAATTTGGATATATATATATATATATATATAAGGATTTAATCTTAATTATTACAAATTATTATTTTAACAAATACTTACAGGTACTCTATCCAAAAATGTACGTAAATCATCCACAAGAACATTTTCAAAATCTGAAATACGTGTAAAAGCCGATGATGTATTTTGTGTTCTATAAGGACTAATACCATCTGGTGGAGGTAATGGATCATATAAATTGATTTCTCTATTTGATATTTCAGGTAGTTGGCTAATAAATTTAGAGTTTTCTATATATATATATATTTATATAGTGTAATAAAAATTGTGATAAATATCATAAAACAAATAATTATCAATAATTAATAATATATTAAATAATAAATTAATTAATTAACATAATAATGTATATTAAATAATAAAATAGTTAATTGACATAATAATATTACCTGAAACTACAATATATCGACTCAAATCCAATGGAATTGGATCATTAAATAAATTTTCACGAATATTTTTTCCATGATCAAAAGCTCCATTAAATTCATCATGCGTCAAACAAGCTAATTAAATGTAATATGATATATTCAAATTATATTCAACAAATAATCCTAGTTTACTTAAAGTCAAAAAATGGCAAGTATATTCACAAACCTTTATAAGATGGAATTTGTTGCTTCACAAATACGTTAAATAACGCAGTTTGTAGCCAACTAATAACCTAGATTATAATTTTATTAGTACTTTATCTTAGAAAAGTTATGTAAGAGTTCCTAAAACGTACTTCAGGTTGTGCCCATAATGGTGATGCTAGATCCACATAAAGGTCTATTAATAAACTTAGGTAGTCTGAAGTCGGTCTGTAATTAGAGTTCGAATAATTTGACCAAAAATAAAATAAATAAATATTAATAGTTAAATGATAGTAATAAAAACGTAATATATAAATTACGTATAAATTACCATACATACGTTTCTTGAAGAAATGGATCTTCAACAACATCAGAATCAAGTTGAATATCACATTTTTCGGCCAACAATAGTACCATTGAAGGAAAGTAAAGAATAGCTCTTTCCAACATTGCTGTGCTAACATCATGAATCTGTATAATATCGGAAAATTTTTTATTTTAAAAATTTAATGATAAATAAATAATCTAATTATTATTAAATTTAATCAATTAATAATTAACCGATTAATAATTAAATAGCACAATATTTACAGGATTTTTGCTATCATTCTGTAGCTCCAATTGAAATTTTGCCAATGCAGCAGAATAAACAAAATTCGGCCAATTTTGTAAATCATGATGATTCCATTCATTTGCCAAAGATAGTACATACGAATATTGACGAGCTTTTAATCCAAGATAATCAATAAAACGTAACGTACATAAAGGATCGTTTATCGGATCCAAAGAAAGTAAAAGTTTAGTGAACTCAAAGGATGTTTGCCAGCATCCACGACGAGATAATGATTGTATGTGACGAAATAGGGCAAGAAAAAATGACCTGACATAAATTTGATGAGTAAATTCATTTAGAGTAACAGAACATTATCAAGGAATATAATTATGCGTAAAGGTAGGTACCTATTTTCATAACGTTTATAACACATTCGAGCAGTTCCTCTTGTGATATTGAATTTTATGTGAAAATTTCTTTCAAATGAGTACAAAGCACGTTCCAGAAATTCTTGTGCCATAACCAAATCACTAGACATCTTGTAAATGTCACTCATTTGTAATAATGAATCTATATGATATGGATTCTCTCGTATAAGAGCATAGATAGTATTTGGATCTATGATGAAAAAATTCTAGTATTAAATTTTATAAAAGATAAAATATAGGATAATTAATGTTTACCATGTGTAGAGACGCACTGCATAAAAGACAACTGAACAGATTGATATTGCTGAGAATGAGTGAAAGTGAAATGAAGAACACCATCTTTCTCTTCTAATAAATCCATCCCAAGACCACACTTTGTGATGGGTGGCCAGTTTTGCCTTGGTTTTGCCAGTACAGTCTTTTTAACAGTTCGTGCATAATTACGATTTCGAATCTCTCTATCAACCTGTAAATCTAATCATTGTGAGGTCTTACCCAATACAAAAGTAACTCAAAACTTTAAATAACTTTGAAATTTAAAGAGTAAATATACTCACAACGCCAGAAGAAAACATTCTTCTCATTTCTCCATCATCGTCTAATAAGCGGGTGTCAACAACTAGAAATGAAATATTTGATGGAGCAGGAGATGAAGAACTAACATCAACGGTAGAATCATCATTTATTGGCTGTGAAGAATCACCAAACCTAGTAAATGTAATAATGTAAATGTAATAAAATTAATTGCAATGAAATAGTTTAACCAAATATAATTTTTTAAAGAAATATCAAGAATTTACTTTTCAGAAACTTCACGAATTAAAGATTCCAATTCAGAGTCATTCATTTCTTCAACTTTCTTTCCTGATTTAGTCTTTTTATCCGAATCTTTGGGTATATTTTTTGTGGAATTACTTTTTTGTTTTTTCTTTTTCTTTTTTTTTGACAAAGATGAATCTTTTGGAGTTGGCTAAATAATTCAATAATTCTATTAATGATTTTATTAACGCACAAAGTATTAATGGGTATTGCTAAAAATAACATAACTCAAACCTTTTCACTTATATTTTCATTTTCAGAATTTTGATCAACATCTTCAATCCCTTCATTTTCTTCATTTAGCTGAATTGATGTAATTTAATAATTTAATTATCAGATAAAGAAAGAAATGAAAAATTTTAACGTACTAAATCAAATAAATTCTTTTTCGGACGCTCATGATCAGAATCATCGATAATTTCTTCCGATTCATCATTTGCATGTTTTAAAGAAAGTGAATCTTCTTTATTTGCAGCTCTTTTAAAAGCACGACTTGACATTTTTTTTTTTTTGAGGATATTGATCTATTTTTATTGAACAAGTATTTAAAAACTGATATTTTACAAAAATATTATCGAACTTAATATTTGTCTTACAAATAACAGTCTTATTTTGTTTGTTATTACACTAAATGCCACCCACCAGAAAAGAAGAAGATAAACTTTTAAAACTTGAATTATCCATAAAGCGAAAATTCTGTTGTTACACTAGTAAAGCTAATCACGTGCGAAGAAAATTTTGGATAATCCTGACTAAATGTAGTTAATTCCTATCGCTATGATAAGTCGTTGTTAACATATGAGTCTTGTAAGTGCGGATTTAAATTTTAACTATACCGAACTTGAACTCTGAAATTGATTATTAAAATTTTGAATTTAAATTCCGCATAGTGAAAATTTAAATTCACACTTTTAGGTTTTCCTTTGGCAGACTCATGTGCAGATAAAACTTTGAGCAAAGATAATTTTATTACGTATGCGCTTTAAGTAAACTCAAAATTTAACTATTGCAAATATGAGATATTAGTTAATCAATAAAGTCTATTCTGTTGCTGTTCAGTTCATGATTCCATAGTCCAAAAATCGGTATACTAATATGAGTGACGACAATGAAAATCAATTCACTAACATTCTCCTTATCAGACTCAGTCCTTAATGAAAGTGATTACCATTATTAGCATTAGTTCTCATTAAACCTCATTTAATAACGCATTACATGATCTATCATTTTCAATATGTTATCAATCAGATTCTTCGGACTCAAATCCGATAATAAAAGATAGTGAATCGGTCTACATGTACAGTATTCACTGTCCGTCATTCATATATACTTTATAGGGATTGAATGGATAAAAATTACTGAGCTTCGATGGAAAGGTTTTTTTTTACATAAAATATTATATGTACTGGTTTATTTTGAAATGTTTGAGGATACCCGGAAGATTCCACGACGAATAAATTATCTCGTGATTTAATTTGAATTTTAAATTCGAGTTTATTCCAAATGAATAATCGATTTCAAATATATGTAATAGGTTTCTTTATATTGGTAATTATTTTTTTTTTTAGTTTGAAGCGGCAATCTTGCCCGCATGTCTTTTATTAAGTAATATATGATTACATGTAATATACATAGTCTAGGTAATTAATTTTGAACCTAGACCGATTTTATATATACAGTATAACTATAACATTTTAGTCTTGAAAAATACAGTAATTACCCATATGGCAAATCAACAAAGTTTCTAAATGCGCTATTGTAAAAAACGGTAAAATTGAAAATAATAAGTCTTAATGCGGCAACATTATAGAATTTTGTAAACGTTTAGGGTATACGTAGTTTTACATGTATTTATAATGCAAGAGAACACCCACAAACCAAGTATTCCACTAAAAAAAAGTTACGTCGTTGGATTTAAATTTAAAAAGCGGTTTAACATATTAATAATCAACTTTTAATTCACATAAATTTTTTTTTTTTTACTTATTTCTTACTAAAAAGGTTTGGGGACCTTTAATCCCTCAAATGATTGAAATTTTGAAATTTACTGGGTTATTCCCTTGAAGTGGGAAATAAAGATATTATTCTTCATCTAATGATGTGGTATTAAATTCGAATAAAAGAATTATAATTATGTAACATATCAATATTCTCTAACGCTAACGCTAACCGAGACTTAATAGTATATGCACAATTTTTTGCCGTGCTGACATTTCATCAAAAAGGAAATGTGGCGGATCAAGCGATAGAAAACCAACAGAATACGTAAATTTATCGGAGAGTTTGTTCCTTTTGATAACTTTGGTAAAAAAAAAAAGAATTGCAAAAGGGGGTTTTGGATATGTATATTCAACAATCTGTTCATCGATTCCGGAAACAATAGCATTGAAAGAAATATCTATCGATATAGGGAATGAACAAATATACATCAAAACTTTTCTTAATGAGGTTGAAATGCTATATTTTCATTATATTTATGATATTATTAAAAGCTTACCTTGATTTTTATAGTTGAAGTTACATAGTAAAACTAATCACGATCGAATAATTAAATTTTTTGGAGTAAGTCATGGTAGGATGTTTTTAAACTTATTTTTTACTATTTAGAATTATCCTGAGTTTCTTCTAATTAGATTATCTAATTATTCTTACATGAAGATGAAGAAAACGAGTTATATTATCTTGTATTGGAATTCGCCGAATATAATTTGAGAGTTTATTTGTCATCGAAAAAAGATACCCTTCAGTGGACAGAAAAAGTACAGCTAGCAATTCAATAGCCGAAGGAGTACAATATATTCACAATGAGCTTAATATCATACATCGTGACTTGGTAATAAATAAGAATAAAGTTAACTAATTTTGTTAGCATATTTACATATATATATATATTTGATTTAGTATATAAAGTATTAATTAAATTTTATATATACTGTATATATATATATATATTCTATTTAGCATACGAAAAATGTTCTTATACATAAAAATAACATCAAAATATCGGACTTTGGGTTATCCAGATGCCTTGACAATACGATTACAACAAGTAGCCAGATATTTGGAATTGCACCATTTACTGAACCACAAAAATTTAAAAACATAAATTACAAGCAAGATAAGAAGTCAGATATATATGGCCTTGGAGTAATATTTTGGGAGATCTCAAGTTGCTGTCCGCCATTCTGTAATTTAGATCCGAATGCATTAATTCTAGAGATATGTAAAGGTCTACGGGAAAAAGCAGTAGACGGAACTCCAAAGGACTATGTTCAACTTTATTCTGATTGTTGGCATGAGAATCCTACTTACCGCCCCGAAATATGTGATATCCTTTTTTGTTTGACAAAAATAAGCAGCACTCTAGGTGGAAACAGTCTTAATCCTTTTTTTAATTCTAAAAGATCGTAAGTTCAATTACGTACATATTTATTCATAAATTTACCATATACTAGTGTTTAGTACTCTTTCAACTGATTACACATGCCTCGTATTTTGATATATTATTGAAATTTTATTGACTTTTAGAGAGTAAGTTCAATTACATATGTTCATTTGATAAATTATAATTAATTAGTACTATTTAATCTATTACATAATTTCATCAACTTTTAGGAAGTAAGTTCGATTGTATATTCATTCAATAAATTATGATTTTACTGTAGCTTAAAATAATTATATATGTTTTATTAATTATTAGTCAGTAAGTTTGATTTATATGTTCACTATTTTATCATAAATTAGTCACGTTATATTTTAACTAATTACGCATATTTCATCAACTACCAGATTGTAAGTTCAATTGCAAATATCTATTTGTTAAATTATAATTTTATTACGAATTATTATAGTACTAAATGATAGTTTAATTAATTACAAGATTCCATAATATCATCGAGTCTGAGAATAAAGTTGATGATTTAACGATAATAAGTAATTCTAAATACTCAACGGTTCATGATGAAACTAAAGAAGCTTGTCTTGAAAAGCTTGGCAAAAATGGAATGATAAATAACTTTTGTTGGGATGAATTCGAAATTTTATCTACCGGAGTCCTTACAAAAGCTCGATGGAAGACGAGATATATTGAAATTGCTCTAAAGTCAGTTGTTGATTCGGAGCAGTTTTGTGATTACCAAGAGGTAGGACAGTTCCATTAACTTGTAGCATTTTAAATTATAATAAATTTCTTCTATGTTTAAAAATATTAAGGTTTTCCACGAAATCGAACAAGTATTGTTAGATAAAAAAGTTAAGAAAAAACTACCACAATTAGGTTACGAAAATGTAATCAGATTTTTTGGTGTAACGAAGCATCGGTATCATTATTTTTAAATTTTATACATGATTCTTATGCTGTTGAAATTTGAATCGCTTATCATTATTTTATTTTCAAAAAAAATCCAAATTTAGTATTAATTCCGGTAAATATATATATTAATACAAACTTTACTTAACTATATATATATTATATTTATTTTTTGCAATGTTTCTTCGACCTAAATAGAACCTTACCTAGTATTAGAGTATGCAGAACTTGGCAATTTACGCAAATATTTGAACCACAACAATTTAAATTGGGAGCAAAAGATTAATATTGCAAGACAGGTTGCTTGTGGCCTATATTTTTTACATGAAAACGGAATTTTGCATCGCGATTTAGTAAGTTACATATTATCTTAATAGCTAATTAATATTATACTTAACATTTAATTAAAGAATTAAATTTATATCAGAATACAAAAAATTTAGTTATTAAAAGTGATAAAAGCTTCAACTATGATATTAGAGTTATGTTTACAAACTTTGGGCTTTCAAAGGTTCTCTCTAGTAATCAGTTATTGGGTGAAACCATATCATTCATAGACCCTATAATTTTGAATAATCGAGAACTAAAACCTGATCGCAGATCTGATATATATAGCCTTGGTGTAATTTTGTGGGAAATTTCAAGTAATGGTCGACCGCCGTTCCACAAAAAGTTACCACGTTCAATTGAATTAATAAGAGGTGAACGGGAAAACCCAATAGCTGGCACCAATGCATCTTATATTAAGCTTTATACAGATTGTTGGAACAGTAATCCTAATTTTAGACCAGATAGTAAAAAGGTGTTCAAATTAATCCATGAAAATGATATCGATATCATATTAAGTAAAGAATGGCAACCAATCGGCACCGAAAAATCTTATGCTGATTTTTATACAGCTTTTTTGAATGGTAGTCCTAGTTTTTATATATAAATATATCACTTTATATCAAAAGATTATATATTTAAATTTTGAATATACTTATTGTAAAGTTTAAAAGATTTTCTATTCATTTTTATATTTTATATTATTATTTTACTATAGAATAAAAAACAGCAGTTAAATTTCTTTTTTGTTATCATATGCTTTAGTTTAAATAAGTTCAAAATTTTAACTAGAACGAAAGTAAGCTCAATACTTTTAAAATCTTGAGAGCATAAAGAACGTTACATGATTCAATGTCGGTGAAATATACAAATAAAACATTATCAATACTGGCAATATCATTTCAAAAGCGAGAATGATTGGTTAATTTGTATATAACAATTCTGATTGATCAAAAAATATTAAACTGCTAATTACTAAGAAAGATTACCTAATATCATCTTCAGAAATTAAATTGTACAGTTGCCTCTGAAAGTTTGTCACGGGTACACAAAAAACATAAAAAAACATAAAAAATTTATGCAATCAACGATATTAATATATTTCGCAAATTAATATTATATTAATTTGCGAAATATACAACTAGAAATTTTGTATTCACACAAGTATAGAATATTCCGCGATCATGATATGGGGCCTGTGCCTTGAAAATGTCCTTACAAGACTATGTAGATTTTATGAATAAATTTCTGGCCATCTAGTAATCCGATTCAAATAAACTTTTTTTTTTTATTTTGTAGAGCTTAGCGATTTCTACAAAATAAAAAAAAGTTTATTTTACCTCAGTGATATCTTCGTGCTGATCACATCACATGATTAAAACACTCGGCCTAAATTAGAGTTAGAGTTAGGACTAGGTGATAGTATAGTTTACGCCGATTTATTAGTGCGAGTAGCATATCGTAAATGTGTACAAGGTTAGCGGTGAAGACTAAATTCTTAATAAGATAGCTGCGTGACGTTTTTTTTCTTTAAAAAATTAAATAATCAGGAAAAGAGTAAAAATATCGGCAATTTATAATTTCCTAGATATGGCTGACGTTGTAATTTATTTACATAATTAATATGGCTATAAAACTTGCTATATTATTTATCAATATTAACATCAATATCAAAAGAATATTATATTGTCGTATTGCCGAGATGTTACGCGTTATTTTTAAATTCTGCCAATTATTACGCAACTAATTTTCAATCGGTATAACAGAAATATTTATTATACGTATTACATTTAACCGAAAATATTCAAATTTATGCAAGATATATTAAATTTACTAATGAAACTTGAGCATAACGAATTTTCTTTCGACAAGAGCAATATTTGGTACTACAATTCATTTTTTAGCAATTGCAAGAATTTGAGCGAATTTTTTGACTTGAATCAACAGCATCAGAACGCAGTCCAGAATTTCCAGCATTATGCAAAATTATACAGATCACGAAGATCATCCTGGGCAACAAAAAAAATGAAAAGCATGAAAAATGGTCGTCTAAATCTATCATGGTGCACTAATAAAAAATGTCAGGATCAATTTTACATATAATAATACACCTAAATCTAATAAAAGCAGCCTATTTCTAGTGCTAATTAGATAAGTAGTTCTGACTGCACCCTGATACAGTTTACTTGACACCATTATTATTTGCACCGTTACTTTAATTCAAATTATAGCAGTAAAATTAAAAAAATTTTTATTTACTTTGGTATTCTTGAGTTGAGCCTTCTTGTGTTGGAAGTTCTTGAGTTGGGCGTTCTTGCATAGTATGAATTGTATGACTTGGGTGAACATTAAAAGTTTGATGTTCCTGTATACTATGAATTGGATGTGTAATATTTTGTTTGACGAGGTTTTTTAATATATTAAGACATTCATTGTAACGTTCTCTATTCATCAAACCTCGGTTGTTTTTTCTTTGACTTGCGTATGTTTTTAATATTCAGTTAAAGGTCTCACGAGTCAGAAAAGAATAATTTTGTGGATTCATTAATCGAAAGAAAAAAAAATACGTAAACTTCATAATAATATAAGAATATTATTTATTTATCATTGTTAGCATCATTCAATGGTGTAATTATAAGAGAATGTATTTGTACATGTCAATTAAAGTATGTTAAAATTAGAACTAAACATTTAAAAAATAATTATACCCTTATTTATAAATATATTATTTAATATAGTTACAATTAAAATTTTTAGTGAATTTTCATATGGCCTGTCAGGGTGTAATACAAATTAAATATTAATTAATAATGACCATATTTTTACTTAAACCCTATAAAATAATAAATTTAATATACTGATACATATATAAATATATAAACTATATACTATAAATTAATTATATTTACAGACTATATTTAAATTTATAGATAATTGATTAGAAATGCTTAATTGTAAATAAGATTTCTATTAATACATTAATTTTATACTCACGATCCTGACGATCCAACTGATTACTTAAATTACATATAATATAATCTATTAGTACAGCTTTGTTTAATTTAAAGTTTTTAATTTATAAATTAAATTTATACTCACGATCTAGCACTAATTATTTAGTTTATATATACAATTAGCAAAGTTGTTTAAATTTTAAACCTTTTAATTTATAAATTAATTTCATACTCACATACTAATAAATTGATTTATATATAATTAGCAAAGTTTTGTTTAATTTTGAAGTTTTTAATTTATAAATTAATTGCCTACTCACGCCCTAATAATTTAATTTGTATACAATTAGCAAAGTTTTGTTTAATTTTAAAAGGTTTTAATTTATAAATTAATTTCATACTCACGATCTAATAATTAATTTATATAAGTTTTGTTTAATTTTAAATTTTTTAATTTGTAAATTAATTTCATACTCACTCTCTATAATTTAATTTATATACAATTAGCGAAATTTTGTTTAATTTTATAAGTTCTTAATTTATAAAATTTATTTCATACTCACTCTCTAATAATTTAATTTATATACAATTAGCAAAATTTTGTTTAATTTAAAGTTTTTAATTTATAAATTAATTTTATACTCACCATCTAATAAATCAATTTATACAATTAGCAAAGTTTTGTTTAATTTTAAAGTTTATAATTTATAAAATTAATTTCATACTCACGTCCTAATAATTTATTTATATATATACAATTAGCGAAGTTTTGTTTAATTTTAATGGTTTTAATTTATGATTTTATGCTTACGGGCTAATAATTTAATTTATATAAAATTTATTAGAAAGTTTTGTTTAATTTAAAGTTTTTAATTTATGATTTTATGCTTACGGGCTAATAATTTAATTTTATATAAAATTTATTAGAAAGTTTTGTTTAATTTAGAATTTAATTCAATAAATTAACTTCATACTCACGCACTAATAATTTAATTTATATATAATTAGCGAAGTTTTGTTTGATTTTAAAGTTTTTAATTTATAAATTAATTTCATACTCACATACTAATAATTTGATTTTATATACAATTAGCGAAGTTTTGTTTAATTTCGAAGTTTTTAATTTAGAAATTAATTTCATACTCACGCACTAATAATTTAATTATATACAATTAGCAAAATTTTGTTTAATTTTAAAAGGTTTAATTTATAAATTAATTTCATACTCACGCACTAATAATTTAATTTATATACAATTAGAAAAGTTTTGTTTAATTTTAAGTTATAAACTAATTTCATACTCACAGGCTAATAATTTAATTTATATAAGTTTGTTTAATTTTAAAGCTTTTAATTTATAAACTCATTTCATACTCACAGGCTAATAATTTAATTTATATACAATTAGTGAAGCTTTGTTTTATTTTAAAAATTTTAATTTATAAATTAATTTCATACTCACGTACTAATAATTTAATTTATAATTTACATATAATTGAAAAACTTTAATTTTTTTAGTGTAATTAATGAGCTAGATTTTTATACCCACTCTCTAATGATTATATAATCGTAGATTAATATAAATAATGTAAAATTAAACATTTTATTAAACATAATGTAGCATGAAGATATACTTTATCCGAACGCTTAGTAGGTATAAGAGCAGAGTTGATGATAAAAAGGCCGCGGTAATGATGAATTTTAAACATTGGTTAGTGAAGTTTAATTATGAAGTTCTTAATTTATAAATTAATTTCATACTCACTTTCTAATAATTTAATTTATATACAATTAGCGAAGTTTTGTTTATATTTGAAGTTTTTAATTTATAAATTAATTTCATACTCACGTCCTATATAATAATTTAATTTAGATACAATTAGCGAAGTTTTGTTTTATTTTAAAGATTTTAATTTATAAATTAATTTCATACTCACAACCTAATAATTTAATTTACAAAGTTTTGTTTAATTTTAAAATTTATAATTTATAAATTAATTTTTATACTCACTCTCTAATAATTTAATTTATATGCAATTAGCAAAATTTTGTTTAATTTTAAAGTTTAATTTATAAATTTATTTTATACTCACTGCCTAATAATTTAATTTATATGCAATTAGCGAAGTTTTGTTTAATTTTAAAATTCTTAATTTATAAATTAATTTTTATACTCACTCTCTAATAATTTTTGTTTAATTTATACAGTATTTAATTAATCAAAGAAGGTTTATTTAGTTAAAAGATTTTAATTAATGTATGAATTTTATCAACAATAGCATGAAATTATACTTTTTCCGAACGTTCATTAGGCATAGTAAGGGCAGGGCTGATAACAATGGTAATAAAAGCCAAAGCAGCAATAATAAATTTTAAATGAAATTTTGGCAACATTTTGAAGACGATATATTTTGTTTCTTTTTTTTTAAAAAAAAATAATTAAGCAGAATGTTGAAGAAAAAAGAATAAAAATATCAGCAATTTATAATTTCTTAAATATGGCTGACGTTGTAATTTATTTACATAATCAATGTGGCTATAAAACTTGCTATATTGTTTATTAATATTAACATCAATATTAACATCAATTTAAAGAATTTTGTATTGTCGTATTATCGAAATACTTTCTGTCATATTGTAAATAATATAAATAATGTAAAATACATAAAGGACTAAGGCTTATTGAAAGAGCCTAATAAATATTAGGAAGGAGCACAATGAAAACATTTGGGAGGGGCGCAATATGGAGAGGCACAATGAAAATATTGGGAAATGTGCATGAGAGATTGAGAAGAAATGAAAATATTTGAAATGGATCCAATAAAATACTGTAAAGAGGCATAATGAAAAGATTGGGAATTGGGATAGTAAAAAAGCAGTAAAGAGGCGCAATGAAGATTGGAAAGAAGTGCAATAGAAGATTAAGAAGCTAAATTAAACATTTGGGGTGGGACGAAAGAAAATATTGAGAAAGTCGCAACGCCAATATTTGGAAAGGTGCAATAAAAATATTAGGAAGAGGCATAATGAAAAAATTTGGATGGACATAATAAAAAGATTGCAAAGGGCGCAATAAAGTATTGGAAAGAGGCGCAATGAAAAATTAAAAATTGGCGAAGTTAAACATTTTGTTGGGATGGAGCGCAAGAAAAAAATTGAGAAAATCAATGAAAATATTGGAAAACGTACATGACGCAACTATAGTTGGTGGTAGAATTACTGAATTACGGCATTACTGCTGACACCATCGAACCGGCGTCGACGTTTTAGTCGCTTCTCAAACGGATACGTCGTGTAACCTACGAACGGCTTAGTCGATAAGAGGCGGTTAGATTTGGCGAGTGGTGTGTTTATGATCGTAGGTTTTACAAGGTAGCGAAGGCCAGGGAATTATGAGGGTCAAACTTCATTACAAGCACGAACTCTGCCTACTTTCTTCAGAGGGCTCGAAGCCTTTATTATATACTTTCATTTACATATAACACGTTATACCCTTTATTCGTGATATGCCGCTTATACCTACTTATAACGTTTATGCTAATTATACTGAGGATAATGTTTATAATATTTATTTTAATTATACTCTTGGTCTCGCTAATTCCCATTATCCCACTGATATCAATTATCAATCCGATACTTAGTATACAGTGGATACAGTGTGCACTGCGGATTTACTTATTTTCCACCGTGATACAAGTCATACATATGCAAATCACATGATAGCGGATCATTAATTTTAATTACTAATTATCGTTTATATTAGTCAATAAAAAAAAGGTATACGTATAGTAAAATTTTAAAGAAATTTAACTCAAAGTGAATTTTTATTTTATATAAATTCATTATCTAATACATATAATAAAGATGGCAGAAGAACTTATAAGTGATGAAGAAATGTGTGTAGATAACTTTTTTAATGTGTTCGATCATTTTACAGAAACTCTTCAAGATAATTTGATTCCTGATGATCTTCTTCTGCCTAATGCTACTTTATTTATACATGAAGGTGTTCAGCATGGTAAAATTTCTTTGGGTACAGAATATGTTGTTTCATTAAATACTGATTTTGAAAAATGAATCCATGATTTTGGTTATAATACTCATACAAGTTATGTACAGGAAGAACTAAATATAATGCTGGAAATGTTGAATTTTAATACACTTACAAGTGTCATCACTCAGGAAAATATAAAAGCCAAGCAGGTCAAAATCCTATAAAAAAAGCAAGAATTATTCAAAAAGATTCAAAAAAAATTGGCTGTAAATCTATGATTATAATTACTAAAACCAAACAAGATCAGCCTCAAATGATTATTAAATATACACCTCATTCAAATCATATTTCAGGTAGTGACAATGATATTGGAACACTTAGACTTTTAAAACAAATTCAAAATTATATTGCATAACAAATACATGATAGTTTAGATATTAAACCAATTAGTCAATTTTTTAGGAAATGAGCATATAATTTGGATAAAATTTGAAATCAACATAATAATCTAAAAGCAATTCAAATCTGTGATCATCTTATTACTAGTGATGATATATATAATATATGGAAAGAAATAATTAAAGAAGATCAAAAGTTTGTATGAAATTGAAGAAGAAAGTCTTAATTTATAATATTATAAGTTTTTAAACAATGGTAATTTAATTTGTGCTATAGCTCAATTAAAAAATAATAACAATAAAGATAAAAGACAACTTTTAGGTTTTATAATTCCAATTACAAAAGAAATAATCTATAAAGTTAATACAGTTTTACTTGATGCAATACACAGCACTAATAAAAAAAATAATCAACTTTATATTCTTTTTTTATCTGATTTTAAAACTGGAAAAGAATTACCTTTTGCACATTTTATTTCTTCTCATAAAAATACTATATCTGTGCAATTTTGGTTATATTGTCTTTATATTCAATTGTTATAGAAAGATTCAGTATCTTTTTTAGTTAACTGTGATCCTGTGCAGATCAAAGCTCTTCAAAATATTTTTCTAAAAAGTAGAATTTTTTTGTGCTGATTGTATGTTCTTAGAGCCTGATAAGATAACTTAAAAAAAGTCTATATTGAAAAAACAAATACAGTATTAAATAATAAATTAAGTACTGAAATAAAATAAAAATTGAAAGAAGAATTATGAAATGATTTAAGAAAATTAATATATATTAATAATTATAGGAATGTTGATGAATCTATTAATAATTTTTTAAACAAATAGTTAATGAATCAAATAATAATTATGAAATTGACAAAACAATGTAGATTAAGGCATATTAACTAGATGTTTTTCATGATAATCTCAATACTACAAATATGTTAGAATCATGACATCAAAAGCTTAAATATAATATTTTTGATGAAAAACCTAACCAATGTAGAGATGTTCTTATTCATAAATTATATATTAATAAAAATAATAATGCTTGACAACAATGGAGATTAGCTAAAATTCATGTAGGCAGAATGATGTTAGCAGAATAAGAAATTCAAAAATATAAATAATAAGCATAAAATTTAATTTAAATATAACTGAAATATTAGTTGGTTAATATTGAATAGCTTCATTTAATACAAATTTAGAAACAAATTATTTAGTTAAAATGAATACAGGATTTCAAGATCAATTTGAAAGACAATTTATTTGTATTTGTAATGATTTTTAAGTCGATTACTTTCTTATAAGCATATTTATACTATTATATTTTACTATTTTTCAAACAATCAAGTTTTTATACAACAATCCCAGTTACAATTGTATTTGCAATCTTAACAATTACAATCAAGATCTCAATTACAATTACAATTTAATTCATCACACAAATAGTAACAACTTCTTAATGAAATTTAACAAATGACTGAAAGTTTAATCTTAATACTTATAGTTTACAAATTGTTCGAAACCAACTATCACAAATTCTTCAAGAGGTTCAAAGTATAAATAAATTTTATGTTAGTAATTGGATTGAAAAAAGTAAAAAAATACAACTTTCTTCACATATGAATATTAAAAAACAAAGAAGATAATGTCATATTAAACAATTTTATTTTATATACAATACAAATTTTGCTAATATACTAAAAAAGAAAAAATTGTATTCAACAATGTAAATATAAGTAAAAATTATAATAATAAGAATTTCTAATTATTATGATTTGTATAATAAATAATATCACTGTTAAATATTGAATTAAATCTGTTTTATATTTGCTAAAATTAAAGTTTTTAACCAGTTATTATATTAAAAAAATATTAAAGTTCAAATTACTGAATTATGTACTATATTATAAAAAAAAAAGAAAAAAAATATATATATCCTAAAATTGTATATTTTAAACCTTGAATAAATTTTATTATATGAATGATTAAAATGATATCATGATATTTTTTTATATTTTTAATTTTTTTTAATATAAAACTTTGAAATACTATATAAAAAATTTACAATACTATATATTACACAATTTCAAATTAAGTTTGTATCATAGTGGGAAATAAGGACATGCTGTATACTGCTGGTATACACATTTAAGGTATATGATCTATATAGCTAAGAGAGCATGACTTAGGATCATATAGTGAAGATCCCTTGACAAAATTATCACTCATGGATTACATGTTTTGGTTCTAATACTGCATTCTACAATATAATAGAATTAGCATCTAATTGCTGTAATTATGTGACAGAGCCAAAATTCAAAAAATTAACCAAAACTCTGGATTAGTATATATTAGAACATTTTGGTATTATATAATATAATCTATTTTCAATGAATTAATTTGGTTCTGTATTTATATTATGGCAATTACTACAAAAATTATAACATGTGCCATAATTCAAAATTAATTTTACTATCAACTATAGGTGCAATGCTAATATTTAGAAAGAAACATTATGAAAAAATTATGAAGGAACATAATAAAAAAATTGGAAAGGGGCACAATAAAGGATTAATATGAAAAATATTAGAAAATGCAATTAAGGATGTATATTAATATAAGATAATTGCATTCATTTTGCAATTTGCAATTTTGTAAAGGACTAACATGAAGTTGATAAGATTAATTTTATAGTGACATTCTTATGATTAGCTATTAATTTCAATTGAATTTTACATTATTTATACTGTTTATAAAAAATAATATACAATAAAGTTTTATTAGAGTCTAGAACTCTATTATTAAAAAGTATATTTAACTCTTACTTTTTAAAAAGGTTAACATAGTAGTAATGTTATTTTATTCATTTTAGTGAAGTCTTTACTATGCTAATTTTTTAATAAGATAAGAGTTAAAGATACTTTTAATGTTAGAGTCTTACAACTCAATAAAACATTCTATAAATGTCTTCTTGTTTTATTGTGCTGTTATTGTTTTTTGTAAATTGTATAAATAATACAAAATTTGATTAAAATCAATAACCAATTAAACCATAAATGTCTTTTCATGCTTACCATAAAGGTTAATTAAATATTTAATTTATTATTGAAAACTGTTATTATCCTAAATATAAATTTTGCCTTTTGGAAGAACTATTGAAATAATTGTATAATATGTAAGATACTGTATATGTTTATCTAGTTAAATAGTTAACCCTCTTCAATCTTTTTGATAATCTGCCTTTGATTATTGCTTTTTTTGATGATCTGATTGTTCTAAAAATTATTGTATGGGCGTGTGTTATTTGTTTTGTGTCTTATTATATAAATTACTTTATGCAAAATAATCTATGTCATGTGATATCAGTCATGTTTTCAGATTTCACAATATGTAATAAAGTTTTTATTTTGATATTATTAAAATAATGAAAAATAATGAAAAATAAAAATAAAAAAATAAATTAGTTAATTTTAAATCATTTTTGAATAAATTATATATTAAATAAAGCTGTTAATAAGCTCTTTCTATTTGATCTAAAGCATAAAACTAATTTACTTAGTAAACTTTTAAGATAATATGAATAGAAGTGTTTTTGTATTTAGTAAATATATTACAGTAAATATAAGATTTAAAAATATAAATCTTGATAACTTAAAAGTAAAATTATATTATAAACAACTTTATCTAAGTATTCAGAAGCAGTTTACTTAATAAATATTAAATATTAATTAATTAGTTATAACAAAAGTTTGATTAAATTATTATCAAAAAGATTTAGTGACTTGTGTTTTATTTTATTTATATATAGAATTTAAAAACATATTATTAATTATAATAAAATTTTTCATAATAAAATTATTTAATAAAAAATAAATTTATATATATATACATATCATCAAAATAAAAAAAAATAAAAAAACATAGAACATAGTAATACTGAATTAATTCAAATTAAAATTTAAATAGTACAAATGTAAATAATTTTAAAAAAATAAATAAATAAAAAATAATAAATCAGAATAGTGATAACAAAAAAATTTTTTTCAAAAAACTATAAAAGAATTTCTTACATAAACTACTCAATAAAATTTTAAAAACTATAATTATATATACATTATTTTAATTAAAAAAAATTTTTAAAAATTTTATAACTAGTTTTTTTTTAAACAAAAAATTAGACAATAAAGTAGATAATCTAACTTATCTTTATCAAATTTTTAAATGACATTATCTGTTATACAATAAGCAACAATTACAAAAAACCCTGTTAAAGAAAATAGAAAATATAAGATCATTACAATAATAAAACACAATATTATTATAAACAGTAACACATCTATATAAAAAATAAAATATTTTAGAATAACAAGACTCTAATACAAACAGGTATGAGGTAATTAAGTAATTATAAGATAATAAGGCTGTAGTATATTAATAAAGTTTAGAAGGTAATTTTGTCTTTTCTGCGAACCCAACTTTCATTCTGATTACATCAATCCTGCGCTCTCTACACACAAGCATTATGATATTTAAGTGACCTGGCCTGTTGGAATGGTAATCAAAGTAAAGATAGTAGGACGGGTGGATTGTGTTTGAATTGCGGCCTGTTCAGATAACAGTCGCAATGGAAAATTGCCAGGTGAGACGACTGCTAATAATTAAATGTTTAAAATTTTTATAATAGCCAGCAGATACTCATGAAGGTGGTGTAGGTTGCTCGATAGTGGAAATGACATACTTGTATATTGTTCTTCATAATGATAGGTACCCAGAAAAATGAGAGAAACTCTAAAATTTACAATCTTATACTCACGTGCTAATGTTTTTAATTTATATAATTTATTAGCATGCCCACATACTAAATAATTTAATTTATATGCAATTAGCGAAGTTTTGTTTTATTTTAAAGTTTTTAATTTATAAATTAATTCCATTCACTCTCTAATAATTTAATTTATATACAATTAACGAAGTTTAATTAATAAATTAATTTTATACTTACGAACTAATCATTTAATTTATT